ATGAAAATCTGAACTTTCAGTTTACCAGGCAATCTTTTGAATTTTTCAACGAAATTTGAACACAACACATATAACATCAGATTTCTAACACTCACCAAAAATCAAAACAAAACACCAAGAATCCGATTTTTAATGATTTTTCAAAGTTTCTGCCCAGAATTTCAAATCGACATTTTACCTAGCTACAAACATCATTTCGACTTGAAAATTTTACACCACATAAGATACCAAAAGAAGGTCATACAGTTCAAATTGCACAGCAATCGGACGAACACACGATTTATGATGATTTTTGTAAAAATCAACAGCAACTCCCGATTCAAAAATACATATATGACCACATACTCAACAAAAAAAAAACGTCTAAGGCCTTCACCATGAGACCAAAGACTCATAAATCCATAGTCTACAGCCCTAACACGATTTTAACGAGGGTTCATCAAGAACACACTAATGTCTCTTCAAACATGCAATACAATGTGGTTCAGAGGCTTATTTCCTCGAAAAAATAGAGCTCTAGATGACCGAGCACCCTTACTTATTTTAAGAACCTGTTTTAACCCCATATTACTCATGATTTATAAGGATTTTTAAGCTCAAGAACTCGGCCTAAACATTCATGCAACGAAAAATCCGATTTTAAGGCTTTAAGCTTCAAAAATCCGAAACTCATAATCTACCCGAGCAAAACATGATTTCTCTACATGATAAATCTTAAAATATTATGTATCAACTAGTATAAAAAGATAGCACGAGCTAACCTTCACCGGAGGATGAAAATTGGCGCTCGGGTCCTTGCTCGTGCCTACTCGGGGCATACTCGGGCTTTGGCTTGCCCGGGGACTAATGGCTGGGCTATGGTGGATTGAGGAGGCTTAGAAATGTCCAAAGAACACTTTGATGCTAATGTACCTCGGTGGAAAATGGTTGGAACAAGCAAGAGCTCGATGCTCCCTTTTTCAGGGCCTTGCGCGCATGTGGGGAGGGCTGGACCTTCTTCTCGATTTTCTCTCTATGTACTGAGTATTTTAAGTTTCTAAGGGTCTGAAATAAGCTGAGGAATGAGGTTTATAAGGAGTTTGGGGCGGATTCCACAAGGAGAGATCATGGGAGACAAAGTGAGTGCTTCTTCCATCTCACCACATGTGCATGGGACCAAGGGCTGGTCTTGCACGAACTTTTAGGCTGTAATCAGAGCATCTTGGTCAGGAATGAGTGCTTGGACAAGTCCCAAGGCACTAGGGACAAAAGCTCTTACACCTTGGAATAAAATAATGCACCTTGCACATGCTTCCTTAGTACTAGTGCTAATTATCTTGCCTTAATCATCCATAAGGCTAAACTTGGCTTAAATAACTCCTAATCCCTTTATTAATACATGCATGAACGTTGACTTGGAGAAAAATGGGTCAAAACTCAAGAAAATGGCTTTGGGAGGTGGCTGGCGTTGGCTAGGCGCGCGCTGGGCGCTGTCTGCGCGCGTGATACGGAAGTGGTGGTTAGCACCCGCGAGGCTAGTGAAAAGGGGGAGCTTAAGTACGAGAGTCGCGCATCGAGACATGATGCGCGCAAAAAGGCAGCGTCGGCGTCACACGGCTACGCGACGGGTGAACAGCGAGCGGGCGTTGACGAGACACACGGGACAATGGGCGACGGCCTAGTCCGCGAGGGCATGGAGTGGTAGGCGCGCGACGGCACGCGCACAAGGTAGCTGGCAGGGACGCGGAGCGCGCAACGACGCGCGAGTGGACGGTACATGCGGGCGCAGGCCTATGCGCGGTAGGCATAGGCGAAGGGAGCTAGCACGCACGCGCGGAGGATAAGGCGATGGCGCTGGGCGCGTGCGCAGGCGCGCGCTGATGAAGAATCGTGTGTTGCGTTCCATTGACTTGTCTCGAACACAGCTTCGCCACGGCATTGCTCTCGACGATAGGTGTGATCGACTCCGTTATTAGCCTAACTCTCTCACGATACTTGAGTTCACTCGGTAATTAGCCTCGCTCCCTCGGTTTTGAACTGGCTCGGGTCTTAGCCTCACCAATTCGATTGCATGATCGAACTCTCACGAATCCCAACACACGATTTCGAACAAACGTTCTTTTCTATTTCATCAAATCCAAGACTTCTAAAACAATGGGGGAGAACCCCTATTTATAGGTGCATAAAATAAAACAACACCAACGCTGTTGTCACACGACTCGAACAGCGATTAGAGGAAGTCTTGTGCGCGTTCCAGCAGCAACCCCCACATCATCGCGATGATCCCCCAAGGCGCGAACCGCGCCAACACGCCGAGCACGCCAATCGCACACCATCACCACGGTGCGAGGATCGACGCGATAAACGACGCGCGCGCGAACACGACGAGGACCGGCGACGCGGGGGTTACGAGCACGAGGAGGAGTTCGATCAGCGGTCGCAAGCGTCCACCTACCGTGAGCGGCCTAAGCCCAACAAGCCAAGGTTCGTAATGTCCATCTTCACGGGTAGTGATCCAGAGGCTTGGCTCAACCGAATCGCGCAATATTTCGAACTGAATGAAACCGACGACCACGATCGAGTAAGGTACGCAGCATTCTACTTAGATGGTGAGGCCAACGTATGGTGGCAGTGGCTTTCTCGGATCTACCGTAGGCGGCAGCAGGTCATTACATGGGCTGATTTTGAGAGAGAATTGCTTACTCGATTTGGCACGTCCGATTATCATAATTATAATGAGGCGCTCGCGCGAATCCGACAGACAGGAAATTTGCGTGAATACATCAAGGAGTTTGAACGACTAGCCTGTCGCGTGCGAGATTGGTCTGAAGATGCGCTAGTAGGGGCCTTCGTAGCTGGACTGAGATTCGATCTAGCCGCGGAAGTCCGACTGGAGCGATCGGACACTATGCATAACGCCATGGAGGTGGCCCGCCGACGAGAAGACCATCTAGTCGCTACGCG